TCTTTACATGTCTACGTTTATACAAGTATCTAACAAACACACATCAAAAGTAATATACATGTTTGTAAATCTTTTCCTATCCAATTAAGTAATATTCTTCTACATTATTTTTATCTTTCATGTTTATCTATAGGTTCATATCTGATCTTGAAACTGATTTATGGATACTACTGCTTACTGTCTCAGCGTCGATTTCAAATTACGATATTAAAACATATTCAACATAATTAATGTTGGCAGTTGGAGCTTATCTTTCCATATCGTTTTCTATGCTCCTATAGAACATATGCATGCACATATACATATATATTTATATTACACTATAAAAACTTGTAACGCATTTTGTGCTTAATAATACATCCTAGACGTCTTTCCAGTTTGATGCCCAGCACTTTAACATGTAGAATAGCTAAAAAAGTGTTCATGACATAATCTTTCTCATCATTTTGCCATTGGGGCACATTCTGCTTTTATATCATTTAGTGAACTAAGACCATTACCTTTAATGCCAACCATGGACTCCTACTGAGAGGAGGAAAGGTGACCCATCTGTATCAACTAGTTCACTCAACAAATAGTTACCAAACCCCACGTATGTGCTGACACTGTAGAGATACAAATTATGCAGAGAAAAAAACTGCCTAAGAACCTCCAAAAAAAAAGCTGGTTGGGAGGTTATGCATATCGCTTCTCCGCCTTTTGGCTAAGAGCAAGGGAGGTTATGCACAGAATATGTACATAAGACAAAATACAGGAACATTTCAGGAGAGGATGATAGAACTCTAGAGAATGGGGCATGTAAGAGGCTCCCCAGGAAACCTTTAGGAAGAGGTTGCACAGGGATTGGCCACACTTACCATGACAGATTCATTTCTACCTTTGCAGAGGTTGACAGGCATGAGAAAGCATAGCCTATTCTGGAGAGCAGAAAGCAGCCAGACTGCTGAACTACAGAGAACAAGACAAATGGGAAGTATACTTCAACAATGACCCTGAGAAAGAAACATAGTGAGAAAGAGGAGCTGCTGTGGCTGCCCAGGAACAACAAAACACCTCACAGGATTTGGTTCCTTGGCTTGGAGATTTACTGCCATGGTGTCAAGGTACATCCCAGTTAACTGACCTAATAACATGTCAAATTCTTCCATTCTACCTCCTAGATTATTGAGTGGTGCCTTGATCTTAAAAGAGTCCAAGGAGTTATTGAAGGTACAACAATTAGTCTATATGCTTCTGGAAAAACAGAGAAAAGAGGAGAGTCCAAAATAGGAGAAGGATATGAAATATGTGACCAATGGCCATAAAACTACCACCTTTGGGCAAAGGACATGAACAAACAGTTCACCAGAAGTGACGTCCAAATGTCAAACATATGAAAAAAATTCACATTCATTAGCCATCTAGGAGATGGAAATCAAAACAATAATGAGCTACCACTATAAGATAAGGCAGAGACCGACGCTTATATTACAAATCAAACGGTTTGAAGAGGTACAATCTGCAAGGAGAAAACCTATATACAAAAGAAACAGACAAAAGTTAGGGCATGGGGGAAAGGAGTCAAGATGGTGTCCAGGTAGAATCACCTGCCCAGCATTCCTGTTGTTAGGCCAAAAAACTAAGAGGTAAGGAGGGCAATATTGGGAGGCTGGGTGCTAAAATATATTCAGTTTACTAGGTAGGGTCTGGTTCAGACCTTCCCCTGCAATTTTCACAAAGAAAATAAGGAACTCACTGAAACAGTCTAAGTTCACTGCATATGCCCGTGGGCTCTGCTAACCCTGAGCCAGGTTCAGCAGGATGGTGTCTTCCATCCCTGTCTGTGCCCACAATCCAAGACCCGCAGCAAGCAGCAATATCCCCCAGGCTGCTGTCTAAAAGTGGTAATAATCCCAGGCTTGAAGAGAGCCTCTGATACTGACCACATGACCTCACACCAGAGTTCCCCTTTCTGCTATCTCTCCTGCTCCTAACCCCAGCCAGGAGTGGAGTGACTACATGGTCAATCCCCTTTCCCACTCTCCCCAACTGCATGACTATCAGCATGGGTAATGAGAGATAATTAGCCACTAATTTTCAGCAACTGAAAAGCCATTGGGATATTTACCTGTAACAAAACACAGATTCCCCAGAGCACAACCTGCAATACTAGGCAGGACAGAACAGGCAGTGACACAGAAATGTTACTGGGGGAGAATTTAGATCCAGTTGGACCCAAACCCACTCCACTAATTAGGTCTCCCTTCCCTGGGGGACAGAGGGCACAGCTGTCATACCAGGGCACCCCACAAGGCCATTATAAAAATGAAAAAAAAATGTTTAAACACTTTCAATTCCAGGCTGTGTTCCTTTGTGTAAAGTTGAATATAAGCTGACAGAACTTTGTCCATTAGCACAGCACTAAAATAACAAGACAGCTAGAATTCTAATCCCCAAAGCAAAGCCTAGGATTTTAACATACCAAAACATGAAAAGCCAACAGGTTCTGATAGCCACAGTCCAAGCCAAAAATTGGCTGTAACTATTTTGGACTCCATGGAGAGTCTTTACGAGATATGGTAGCCAACTAAGAAGGAGGGGTAGGAGGAGAAAGAAAAAGACATGGGTAGCAGGGGAGCAGAGAACTAACCCACTGAAGGGTATTGTTTATATCTCCACAGGGAAAGAGGGACCAGACTGCAACCCAGTGCACCAAGATTTGAATACAATATACTGGCATGAAGCAGGGAACCAAAAGAAAGGTCTGAGGGGCCGCCCCCAATCCCAACTATGTGGACAGCCACCCCTCCCCACAGAAGAATTCACTTCAAAAGAAAGCATGGAAGCCACAGCTCAGGGAGAGGGACAAGTCTGATCAGAGCACACAGGAGCAAAGGAAGGGAAAGAGAGAGTTGAACACATCCTGACCCACCAAGCCCTGAGGACAATATTCCTGCTCAGAGCAGCCAAAGCACAGAGGACAATATGGTCAGCCCCACTAAG